GAATGCACTGCTACAACTGGTTATGCATTATCTTCAGCAAAACTTTGCTTGTATGTGATGTTAATAACATTGTTTGACAATTTCCACATTCCATTGGATAGCCTTCCTTTGAAATGGGCTCAAATATGGATCTCTTTCAGTTGGTTGGCCAGGTACCCATCTTCCAAATATCTTGTTATAGATAAGTGAGAGCTTCTAGTGTTACATCCATTTGTTGAAACATGTCAATTGATATTCTGTCAATTCATGGAGCTTTATTTTTTTTTTTGCTAGTGCCTTCAGTGCAGCTAGGAACTCTGGTAGAGTAATGCCTAAGGCATTTGACTGCTAACCAGAAGATTGGGAGTTCAAACCCATCAGGTGCTCCATGGAAGGAAGATGGAGCAATCTATTTCCATAAAGATTTACGTAAGCCTTGGAAACCCAATGGAGGTTGGTATGAGTTGGAATTGAATCAATGGTAGTGTTTTTTTTTTTTAATTTTTTTCAGTGCAGCTCGGACTTCTTCCTTCAATACCGTTGACTCTTAATCATATGCAGCCTCCTGAAATGGTTGAATGTCAATAAATTCTTTTTGGTACAGAGACTCTGTGTATTCTTTCCACGCTTCCTGCATCGTTCAGTAGTTTGTCGTTCAAATCCTTCAATATTACAACTCGAGGCTTGAATGTCTTTTTCAGTTCTTTCAGTTTGAGAAATGCCAACCATGTTCTTCTCTTTTGGTTTTTACTGGCTTTTTTTTTTTAAGACATAGACCCCCAGGTCCTTCTTAGTCTGTCTTAGTCTGGAAGCTCCACTGACACCCGTCCATGGTGGGTGACCTGCTGGTATTTGAAACACATGGCCACCAAAGTACGATAAACTGACAGACGAGTGGTGAACTTTAATGTTATATTTTTAAAATATATGTATAATTTATTACATGGGTGCTATGGATCCTGTTTAGGTAAAGAACTTGAGAACATCTTTGGGTGTGAAAGGTAAGCTATCCTAGAACATGTTCTGGAAGGTGAAGATCAAATGGAAAGAGCTGAATCACTGTATATAGTAAAGTGAGATGAGTGAGTGGAGGGCTGGAGGCCATTAAAATAACATTAAAAGGAAGAAGCGTGGCTTTAGAAAGCTGAATACTCAAGTCAGCTTACAATGGCATAAACACCTTCCAGG